ACCTTACCTTCTACTCTACTACTACTATACTACTTACCTTACTTACTTTACTTACTACTACTCTATACTACTACTACAACACTCTCTTCTTCTTCTTCTCCTCCTACGTCTCTCTCTCTCTCTCTCTCTCTCTCTCTCTCTCTCTCTCTCTCTAGCAACCTCCCCTAAATAGTTCTCCCTCTCTCTCATCTCGTGAAACTCACAAGTTAAAGAGGCATCACAAACACAATTTTTGTAATGAGGTTATTAGAAAAAAGAAGGACAAATTCTGTAATTTGGATAATGAAATAGGTAAGGAGGGAGCTAAACATTCTTTTTTATTTAACTTGGGGGGTTGGATTTCATGGACTTGTAATGGGACCAAGGAGTTATTTTGGATAATAATTTTATAGAGGGGAGTGCACGTCTATTTCCCTGCAATCAAATAGAAGCTTTGTTGAGAAAAATGAAATAACAGTTTTTAGGTCTCATGGTATCCTAGCACAAAATTTCTTTTCATCAAAGTCAAATTTAATGAGAACAATATTCTGAACCCAAAAAAAATCAAGAAAGATTATTCTACATATAAGTTACAAAGAGATGATGTCGAGCACTACAGTCGATTGAGAGGTTTACAAGATCATATAACCAATAATAAGGCATAGGGGCCAAAAGTATTAAATTATTAATTTAAAAAAATAGAGATATTGGAGAATTGGGATAAACTGGGCAACGATTGGAACCATCAAGAAAGTTAAAAGCCAAAAGGCATGAAACACTCACGTGCTATCAGCTTTACCTTTCCTTTTTATTTTCCAGACATGTAACGGTCCCAACCAACCAATGACTGCAGCAGCAATTGAGACCTGACTATGTCTGGAAGAGAGAGAGAAAGAGAGCGAGAGAGAGTCCACCTATTGCAGACACAGGTAACAAAGCCAGATGCTTTGCAGATAAGATCGGAATTTGGAAATGTAAGGATGGATGGTAAGGAGAACGAAATAGAGCAGAAAAAGAGCTGAAAACAAATAAGCATTAAGGAATTCAACATGAAACAATTCCTGGAGCCACTGAGAACAATACTTAGAATAAATGTCATCGTTTGAAGCAGTATTTTAAACTCTGCTCAGGCTTGAAGCCTGGGATCCGGCCTTGCTAAAATACTCTGGGTGAATTTGAGCCAACTTGCCAGACTGCCCATCAAGCCAGCCAAAGAGCCAATATAGGAAAAAAAATCTAAAACATGGGTAAAATAGGAAAAGCAAAAAAAATAATAAACAAGAGAAAAATTATATAAAAGGAAAGAAAAGTAGTTCTCAAAAAGTTCAAAAAAAAAGGGCTAAACATCATTTTCCCATAAATATGAAAAATCAACAAATTTAGTAAAATTCATAAAAACATAACAGGTAAAGAGAAAACTGATTAAGTCCATTTTAATTAATTTATCCTTCTATAAATCCTTTGTAAATTTATAATTATGTACAAGTCACTTATATATACCCCCGAGTTTGATAGGATTCTGGGTTCGGCACCCTGCGGAGCCCGAAAAAATCGAGTGAGTCCTCACTGAGTTTGAAAACACTAGTTTGAAGTACACTAAAGCACAAATAATGGCATGAAGAAATAAAAGGAAGATGAAATGAAGAAAAAAAATATCATGGCATTGAGTCAAAGGCTATGAGTAATAATCATGATATTAAGTGTTTAGGGATTGTTACAGAACTTAGATAGAACCAAAGCACACATCAAGACCAGAAAACTTTCAAAAACAACATATAGGAGAAGCGAGTCCTAGATCCAAGTCAAACACTATGGGGTCTGTAAGTGGTTTTGGATTCATAAAATAAGTGCTCATCAATTGCGACAATACCAATTCCAGGCAATAGAAAGAACAACCTCTCCCACTTCCAACTCTAAAGTCCCAACATGCAAATCACCCACCCACCCAATCATGAAAAGAGAAAAAATTAAAATAACATTAAATAAAAAAGCTTCCTCCTATCACAACCATGAAGAATTCCAGATCACAGTTAGGATGGATAATACAAAATTCCATATCGAGGTTGCACTTACTACAACCATCAAATTCTTTTAACTATAAGTTCAACTAAATAAGTATTACAACCGTCATATTTTAAGTTGCAGATTGTGATGGAGAATTTCATTCTAGCCCCGTAACTACCGAGCATACGACTTTCAAAACATGGATGTGTCATTCTATGATAGGTTATTGCTAGGCAAACTGCAAACCAAACCCCTTACACTCTAGCACCTTTTTTCTGAAATAAAGACAGATCTTGAAGATCACAGTAGCAATACCGTAGCATTCATACCCACAAATCAATATCACCTTTTTTTACTCTTGGGCAGATTCAACCCCTTCCTCTTCTCCCTTCTCTCTATCTCCTCTCTAAATATGAAGGATTCAGCTGAAATCATCGCCCACGTAGCTCTGCATATGTTAACTACCATAAACCCCCAATCAAGTTACCAAAAGTTTTTGCTCCCTCTTCTTCCCTGAAGCCAAAAATGGGGAATGCAGTTCAGCTGCAAATCTTGAGTAAATGTAAATGCCTTCATCCCTTGAATCAACCATCATCCCACTGTGCACCTCCTCCATCATATCTTCCCCAAAACCTCCCTCCCCTATTCATCTCTCTCTAAAAGGGAGCAGATATATATACACACACACATAAAGGGGGTAGATCCACCCCCTATTCATCTCTCTCTAAAAGGGAGCAGATACCCCCCCCTCTTTTAAGCTCTCTAAAGGGGGCAAATATCCACCCCCTTTTTTCCTCTCCCTCTAAAAGGGGGTGGAAATCTATTCATCATTTCTCTCTCTCTCTCTCTCTCTCTCTCTTCGCAGATGCTCTCTATCAACCCCAACCAATTTCCCCATTTATTTTTTATTTATTTTTATTTATTTTTTTCCCATGGTGTCCACAGTACTTGCCCAGGTGGACTTGGACTCAACCAAGTAACTCAGCTTGGTTAGGGGCCAAGTCCGTGGGCCGAGCTGAGTTATTTAACACTGCCACAGATTTATGCCCCCAACATATAATTCTTCTGATGGTTTACATGTAAAATAATCAACACTGTATCATACATTATTCACAATAATCCAGGATGTCAAGAAGCAAAAATAGGGTAGACATTGAGTAACACTGAAATAGTTGATAGAAAAAAAGAAGACAGCAAAAAAGAGAGAAAAAATTTGAGTACTAATAGACCGCATCAAAGAAGATTAATGACTCACCACGAAGGGCAATGGCCGCTGTCCAACATCAGCAATAAGACCTAACTGCCCTCTTTCCATCCCACCATGCTCTGAAATCGACATTTTCCTTTGAATGGCTTCCTCATGCATCCTCTCGCGAGCTAATTCCATCGCAAGAATATCTTCCCTAATCGTCTTATGGGCAAGCTCTCTTTCAGCCAATATAGAGTTCGTAGCCCTAGATGGCCAATTGAGCTCATGAGGAATTCGATGAGGTATAGCCATGCTTGGGTTTGGCAGTCTAGCAGAGGGGATGTACATCAGCTCAGGAGAGGTTAATGGGGGCTGAATTCTGGTTATGCCTGCAGTCTGAGCAGGCAAGTGTCTTGGACCTAAATCCAGTCTAGCCCCCATATTGGTTGGTAGAAACCCTCCTGTAAGTCAAGAAACCCCTTTAAGAGTAGACCCGATTAACAATATGCCAAATATCAATCACCTAAGGAGTTATCCTGTATGAGGTCAACAACCCCAAAACCCAACTCAAAGACATAGCGGAACCTAGAATCCCATGTAACATGATGAATAGATACATGTCATCCTTTGACCCCTGCTGAGAGGTTACATAATACATACTATGATGATGGCACCCAGTATTCTGAGACTCAGCCCAGGCCACTCGGATTCAGCCGAGTAACTCAGCCTTGCCCTATAGGCGAGGCGAGTTTTGGGCTAGTAGGCTGTACAATATATTGGTAAACCTTATCTATATTAATACATTGAATTTAAGTCATATATGTTTCAAGGGCTCTGCGGTTAGTACTAACACATAAGTCTTAGCATGGTCAGGGTGTTGGTAAACTTTATGTATATTAATACATAGAATTTAAGTCATATATGTTTGAAGGGCTCTGTGGTTAGTACTAACGCATAAGCCTTAGCATGGTCAGGGTTCAAATCTCACCAGTGAACCTCACTTTTTTAAACACTGTCGTTTGCTCTATAAGATCAAAGTTCTAAAAAAACATGTAGGAAAAAAAAATGTAGGACCCCAAGAATCGAACCCTTAGCCTCTTGCAAGGAGGCAGCTCAATGTCATGCGGCATAACCAGCAACATTAGGTGTTTGATTGTAAAAGCTCCCCCACTAATTATACATATTACGCTTTTTTAAAGAAAATAAGCTGGAATCGGGTAAGTTACTAGGGCTCACATAAGTAACTCATCTCGGCCAAGGCCCGAGTACCATGGCCTAGTCAATTTTCTAAACACTGATGGTACCTTACAAAGTCACAAGTTAGAACCATATGGTTCAAGGACAATTGCCCCCAAAACCTAAGAGAAGAAGACGCAATATTGAATCTAGTTCTATAACATAAACCACAGAATGAAATAGTTCAGAGCCTGTTGTGTTTTGAGAGGGGGTCCAGTTTCCCCAAACCACTACAGTTCAATCCAGTGTTACCAGGACTGGTCACCAAAGCAATGAGATTTGAGGTCTTGTCATAGGCAGCCCAACAGGCAGTAAAACCAGTCACCGGATCATAGAAATTGATGAAATGTTAAAAATACATAAAATTATGAATATAATAAAATAACTAAAAATAAATTCCAATACCTAATTGGCCAATCCAAGCAATCTAAACCAGCTGGTCGAACCAAACAAAATCACATTTGGTTTGGACCAGCTGACGAATGGGCCAGGTTGGGTCTCGATAATCATGGTTCAGCCAGTCATATCTTGTGTGCTCCCCCCAAAAAAAAATCAACTACACTGTTTTCCTGAAATCACATGAATAAGGGGCCACTGCACTACAGTTTTGGAGTTCAAATTTCTAAAAGCATCTTGGGGCTCAATTCCCTAAGACTGTTAGAATCAGTAACTATTACTGTGGCCCTAGAACCATTTTTTCATAGACCATTACCTCGAAACACATTATTCGGTGACCACTGATGCCCTGAAGCAATGTGATTTTGGAATGTTAACCTAAATCAAGCCAAATATTTCCCTAACCATCAAAACAACATAATTTCACTTGTTAAGCCCCCAAACAAGGCAACGAAGACGTTAAACCCTTAAGCCCCATGATTCAGAAACAATTGCCTCATTATCTCATGATTCAGAGAGAGATCAGAAGCACATGATTTAAAACACGATGATTCAAGATGTAATTTGAGCCAAAACCAGACGCTTCAAAACATTATTTGCTTTAGAACCAAAATTAGAAAATATCATCTACTATGAAGCGCACGATTCAAGATCTTGCTCTCCCTAAACCACAGATAATTATTTCGTCCAAAAATTACAGGTACCATCGGAGAAAACCTACGTCCGGAAAAAGAGTCACTGAAAAGCCGGATCTCACCTGTAAGGGACTCAACAGTGTAGTATCCCTGGCCTGTAGAGAGCTTGGGCAGAACAGGAACCATGGCCTCTGAAATTCCCCTTCTGAAATCCATCGTACATGAATGAATCAGTGAGAAGGAACCGCAAAACATGAACCCGAAACCCTAAAATTTGAGAGAGAGAGAGAGAGAGAGAGAGAGAATCGATCTAAAATTTGATGGAGACGAGGCTTTTATATACGGCGTAAAGTAAACAAAGTATAATTACTGAAATACCTCCGTCATTCTTCCGTGATATCTAAAATACCCTCAATGATCAAAATACCCTCTATCATTTTATGGGGACAAGGTTTTATTCCGAAATCCACCTTTGAGAATGATTTTGGAAGCAAAAATAATTTTAAAATTAAGGCTAGATAATATATACTATAGTGATCATTAATATAAAGAAAATTAATTTTTAAAACTAAAATAATAACTTTATATAGTTGTTTAGATCATTGGTTTAGAGATTTGGGTGAGGCCGCCACCTTTTAACACTCATTGTTAAGATGGATGCTAGTTGTGCATCCCCGGACACATGCTACATTTTTTTATTTTAATTATTTATTCCTAATGCTCTTCGATTTCACCCAACGCGTATAATGTTCCCTTTGCAATTCTAGTACTACCTGAGTATTTTATTTTCTTGTTTTTTATTTTTTAATTAGAAGAAAGTGTTTTTAATATTAAAAATTAAGACTACCAGAATAAAAATAGTATGTATCAGATTTTGCACGAACTATAAAATTGAAATTAACCTTAATATGTGAGTAAAACATTTAAATCATCCATTTCAGAATAGTAAAAAAGATAAATACTCAAAATTAAATTGCCCCAGAATAAAGAAAATTTTAAAAGTATTTATAAATAGCAAAAATGTTGGATTCATGTATGCTATGAACTTTACAAGGAAAGTTTCTTATTTGTGAAAAGGAAAAGTATTTCATGTGGGCTGGACCGTATTTCTACATATGCGATCTAGAAAGTGTAAAGCATCCATTTTAAAGATGGATGCAAGTAGGTGCTACATCTAAAAATAATAAAAACTAACGGTTGAACTATTTTTTTATTAGAATTATTATTTTTAATTTAAAATTTTATTTATTTTTCATATTCATGATCTCCATTTTAGAGATTACATGTCCTTGAAAATTAAGTATTAAAGTCCATCTCAAAAATAGATTTATTAAGAGGTCCGTATTTCTACATATGCAAACTTGGTCGCATAGAAATCGGGTCTTTAAGTGCATCAAGGACACAATTATTAGGTTGGTCCCCTAAAGCTTTGATATTGTTATTTAAGATGGATTCGGAAAAAAAAAAGTGCCTCTATAAAAAAAACCTAAAACAACTGGGGTAAAAAATAATCAAAATATTTTTTTTTAATTTCCAAAAGTAGTTTTTCCATAATCATGATCTCCATGGTTGAGATTATCGAACCCATAATTTTTGGATTGACGCATATAAATAGATGGGTTGGCTTACTAAACAAAATTTTAATGTATGCGTATGAGAGAAAAAATAAAATATATCTTATTTAATATTTTATTTATTAGACTCTAGTATGCATGAAAAGTTGCTTCAAGGGAAAAAAATTTCTACGGCAATTATTAAATAAATGAAAACAACCGCCTTTGTTTCATGATGACGACAAACATACATGTAATACATCCCAAAAATTAGTATTTGTAACATAAATATAGATATTGACGTTAAAAATGTCATTTTATGACATTACGATGTATAATTCTAATATGATTAATGGGGAGGCATAGTTGGGTGATTGTGGCCATTAAATGCATTATGAGTGCTTGTAAACTAAAATGATATAGTGGAACATGAACTTAGTGAGAGTGTGGTATCTCATAGACCATATTAACCAAATGATGTTGTTGATACCAAACTGAACTTGATGAGCTAGGGGCAGTCGGTTGATAAAAATATATGTTACTTGAATATAAAATATTGTTTGATAAGGGTTCTAATAAGTCATCCCTTGATGAAGTCGGAATATGCCCGAATGAGTGAATCAAGTGACTGTATGACCCTTGTGTGATGGTGGCCTTCAAAGACGGAGGTCAAAGCCTCATCTACAAATGATCACACGACATGCATAATGATAGCCGTTTCTAGAAAACGAACCATATTTTAGGGTGAAATTTATGCATGTACGAGAGATACCCCTATATGTCATAGGAGTTGTGGTCACATCAGATCTAGGTGGCCTTGATACGTCTCTAGCGGATAACCTGAAATCCACAAACTGGGATTACGATTCCTTGGCTCATTGGCCAGACTTTGGTAACCTACTAATGAGACACTGCATAGACTGTGTGTCATGGAAAATACTGAGTCAGTTTAATAAAGCAATTGTAGATCGTAGTCTACAGTTGAAGGTAGAGAGCCCCCATAGTTTATTTATTTAATTCCTAGACGTCTTGGCTCTAGGGGACCAAGAGCCAAGGTTTCACATCTAATGAATTTAATTATGTTTGTTTTAATGATATATGATTTTTAAAATTATTATTTGAATTTTTCTAGATCTCTAGATATTTTATTTATCAAATTTGGATTTATAAAAACAGAAATGTTCATTTAGATTGATCTAAATATTCAAATTTGATTTTATGGATTTATAAAGTCATATAATTAATTTTAATAATTTTAATATTATATGGGAGGCCCAATATGTTAATGAGCCCACCATTGTATGTGGGTGGGGCCCATGAAGTACCAACTAGGGTGGCACACCCCACCCTAATGAAACTTTCTTTGACAAGCTTTGACTTGAAGAGAAAGCTTTGAAGTGTTTTTGAAAGATTTTGCCTTGAGGATGCTTTATTGTGCATAATTTTTGTAAGCACTGTATTATGAATGTAATTATTCTATTTAACTTCTATTGATGGAAAAATGGTTTAGGAATTAAGAATAAAAGTTCTAGTACCTTCCATAAATGTTGATGGCCCATCTATGGAATAGATAGCTCAAATCTCTCACACCACAAGTCACTCAAGATCAAATGTTTTAAAATGCAGGTTGCGGCCCTGATGCGGTGGGGGGCTGATGCGGCGATGTGGCCCGGATGCAAGTGCATTGCGATGATGCGGTCAATAAATGTAAAAAAATTCTTAAAAATATAAAACAATAAGTTAATACATAGAAAAAAATATGAAGGTGATATATCTGATAGTAAGTATTTTAGTTTAATGATTAACTTCAAAACTATTAGTTGTCGGAGATTTTGTATCCAGTTATCCACTATCCCCTGATAGAAACTAAAAACTTGAAACCACATTCATAAAGCATTCAACAATCAACAATCATAAGCACAAATTTACACCATAAGCACTACCATAAGCACAACATAAGTACAACCATAAGCACAAAATAGTGATATTACAAAATACAAACTAAAAGTCAAGCTCAATAAGAGTTAATAGTTAATAACTTAACACAATCATCCATCATCCATTTTGAAAGTCAATTTTGAAATTTGAACTTCATTTTTTCAAATATCAATCAGACAAGTCATTTTGAGAGTCGTCATGCGCATCATTAATATCATTCTCGACGGCCTCCATGTATTATTCTTCATCGGTTTCCTCTGAGTCGGCTTCTTCCTCCTCGACCTCTGAAACTAATGTGTGAGTGCGACTAGACCCAACAGCTCTTCTACCCCTTTGTGCTCTAGTGTTAGGTCGATCTTCTTCATTAGCTCATGTTGTTAGCTCGACATCAAGCCATGTAAGATCCTCACCCTCAAACACATGCTCTTGTCTTGGATCCATGGTCGACTCACTTATGGAATTACCATCAGCTTCATACAATTGAATAGGGTTGAGCTTCATGCGATTTTCATACATCTCCTTAAGTCGCTCGTTATACCGCACATAAACCAAATCATTCAACTTTTTATGCCCCAACTTTTTTTTTTTTTTATATGGAGCTGTGGTTTAAATTTGAAATCAAATAAATTAGATTTTAGATTAAAAATTGAAATTCAAGAACTTACATGCTTAAATGCACTCCAATTGCCCTCACAACCAAATGAGCTACATGTGAGATTTAACACTCGATGCGAGACTTTGTAGATTTGGTGTCTCGTTTCCATATAATGCCCACCATGCAGCTATATAATATTTTATAATTTAGAATATAGTTAAAAATTAAATGTATAAAATAAACAATGGAACTATACATAAAGTAAGAGACAAGTAAAATTATTTTTGGGCTTTTGGCCTTTACCTGGATCTATAGTATCCCTATTTCGGGTGGCAATATCTCTCTCAAAGTTTCTCAAAGCTAACTTGAACTTAATCAATTCATGGCGTTAGATCTCATCCTGGATATCTTTGTCTGGCACCAACCTCTTCAGCACATTTAAGAACCCACCATTTATTACACGATCCGATTCAATGGATGGGTGCTTGTAGTGAAGAGATGGGTTTAGAAAGTAACCGGCTGAATGGAGGTGCCTGTGAAGCTGGGTATCCCATATCCTATCAATAATTTCAAGTATAGCATTGTGCTTATTTTCATCATCATTTAAAACATCTTTTATTTCAATTCTTACCCTAGTCATTGCCTCATGAATGTAGCTCATGGCGGGCTTCTCATCACTATCAACCAGTCGAAGTACTCTCACTAAAAGGCGAGCCACTTCCAATGCAAGAATTATTTGACTCCAAAAAGATGTATTCAGAATAATTTTTTCACCCTTTCTCCTATCCTTATGCTTTGACCATATGCTTTGACTCCATTGCTCTAAAGCAAACATGGTATTCAAGGCACTTTTTTGCTTGGTTAGGCTTGGAAGAGTGAGAAATGATGTAGCAAATCTAATGATACCCGGTCTCACTAATTATCTCTTATTTGTAAAAGACCTCATCATGCTTAGGATCATGATATGATTGTAAATAAATCTAATGACAAACATAGCTCTTGAAATCACGCCACTAAATAAAGATGTTGTACCTATTTCCTTAAGCATAAAATTAACACAGTGAGTTGCGCAAGGAGTCCAAAACATATGTTTCATTTTCAAAGGCAATAAATGCCCAGCTGCAACATAGTTGGCACCATTGTCAGTGATAATTTGGACCATATTTTGCTCCCTAACAAAATCGACAATCTCATCCATCAAGCTATATAAG